TGGGAAATATTATCAATACATACATCTGTATAATGCTAAACAGCTGTCAAGAAGTAAAAAGAAACAAATCTGGAACGGCACTGTTACACAACTCCATATAAGATTCTTTCCCTTTAACCATAATTGCTCCTTCATCTATTACACCAGCAGGGAAACCTTCTCCCGAGGTGGTGAATTAACTCATCAACATTATTCAAAGTTTTGATTGCTGAGCAATAGCCAAAGTGTGGTTGGTCATTGTCCCAATCCCCCTGGGCTGGGGGGGTGCGAGGCTGGAGCACCACACGCCCACTGGAGGCCAGGCACGCAGGTTGTTCGCAGCACTTCTTTTAGGTAGATGTGGGTGTTAACGGCCCCCTACGTGGCTGGTGGAGGTGTTCCTCAATGAACGCTTGAGCTATGCCCTGGGCCATTGGCTTCTGGGAAGGTGGTCCTATTTAGGCATTGCTGACCTGGATGTGCCTTGATCTCAGCCTGAAATCACCCTTAATTTGAGCCAAATCATCATGCAAGTAAATATGAGTAATGCAGTCATAAGTCCCAATAGACAGCATGGTTGCAAAGATAATTATGGATACTGGCTGATAGAAATGGAAAAATCCTGCTTAATCTCTTTGTCCCCAAGGCAAATTCACAAGGGCATGTTGCCCTTGCTGAGACGCCACAGCACCTCTTTGACCCACTGCTTTGCAGCCAGCAGTGGCCAAGCTGGCTCCTCCACCCCTGCCTTCCCGGGCCACTGTTCCTGGGCTGATCGCAGCCTTCTCCCTGGACTCCTGACCATTCCCACCTCTTTGGAAAGGCTACCATCTTCCTGGCAGTCTGGGCAAACTCGTTTCTTGTCCCAGGGGCACATATTACCACCTGCCCTAGCACTTGACTAAATCGTGAGCAAATTGCTAATCTCTTAAGGAGTGAAATGCTCCTTCCTGCTCAGTACCCTAAAGGACTCCCCTAAGAAGCCTTATCATACATTAAATCTCACACAGTCTATGACCATATAGACTAGTCCCCACACATCATACAGACATCTAAATTAAATTAGTGACGGAAATCAGCATCCCCTCTTTCACCAAGAGCAAACAAATAGCAGCAAGTCTCTTGGGTATGACAATCCACTTGGAAGAGACTGAGGCCAACTGTTTTTTGGAGGATGGCAATGACAATTATTCTAAGAAACCAAAAAAAAAACAACAGCTCCTCTAGCACTAGGGTATAAGCTAGAGCTGTGAGCAAAACAAAGAACAGCAAGAGAGTGTCCTTTCATTCCCTTTTACTGAGGCACAGCTCAGCCTTTGAAAAGAAGCATACTCTAAAAAGAGTGTTTTGAGCCCACGAAGATACAAATAATGCTAAGGGCCAGCCCTCCCACTGACCAAACAGTGCACGGGGAAGGTGCCAGGCCGTGACTGAACTGGGGTCCCAGCAACGGAAGCACCGGAAGATACACTGCACTCACATCCTTAGGTGGTAGTTAGAGGGAGAGAAGTTGATGTGAGAGCTTATAACTAGCTCAGAAAAAGGTACATTTACAAATACTAGAAGAATGGGTTGGTGCAGAGAGAGAAAGCTTTGTTTCTTTCCTTGGCCATTGCTGGTTTAAACCAGAAGAGCTGGAGTGCTGTACTACTATAGCATTTCAGCCCTGGAAAGGACCAAGGTTTCCTCACACCCGGGGCAGTGGACACTGAAACAACCAGAAAGCAAAAAAAAGCTCACCTGCCATTAGGCCAATATTTTATTAAATAAATAATATTTAAAAAATAAATAAATAAAGTCTTCTTTTCTCCTTGGAAGCCAGTTCCCTCTGATGCTCACAGATGATTCTTGCATTGTCAGCTCATATTTAGTGATTCTTTCCAGGGGACCAAAAGAACCTCATTAGCATTAGATAATTTAGGCTTCTAATATCCTGCTTAAATTGTGACCGTGACATAGCTTGAGGAGCATGAGTGAGTACGCACGGTAAATGCAAAGAAAAGCTAAGTGCATACAAGTCTCACTGGGTGTCTCACAGAAATCCCTGTGGAGAGAAATCATCTACTGCTGCCTTAGTGCAAAGGCCTAGGCCTGTCACTCAAGCCATAGCAACTCTTTTTATTCACAGGGGAGGGAGTTTTTCAAGATAGCAGGCATCAGCAAGTGCAGTGGACAGAGGAGCAGCATGCACCTTGCAACATTTCCTAGGAGGCAGCTCCTGTGCCAGGGGGAGAAGCAGGAGCAGCAGAACAAGGAAGGTTAACACCCAAAGAAGAGCTTCACTGGCCAGCTCACACCTTTAAAAGACCAGCCTCTGTCACTGCATTACAGCTGAGATAGTTCACATTGTGGAAAAATGCCCAGCAGACTCCCTGGTGCCACTGTGCTGTCTAATGCTGGCTTTCCACTACCCACCTCTCTGCATATGCACAGACAAGGCACCTGCCAGCTGGGACTGCTCCAGTAAGAAAGGTTCAGCTTTTAAGACAAGTGCTATCTATCACAACTCCAGTTTCCCCCTAAGATGAACTTGGCCTCAACCCATCACTTGTCCTCTGACCTTCTCCCATTCCTGCCTAGTGCCACTCCTGCATGGCTGTCTGCTTCCAGTCCTGCACTGTCCGGGATCAAAAATACCAGGGAGATGCTTCTGAGAGGTTCTTCTTCCTCTTGGAAATCCTTCAGGCAGCTGCAGACTGCTGTGAGACTTCTGCAAGAGAGAGCAAAATGTGCTCATCCAAAAGCTGACAGGTGCTGGAAACATTTTTACCTTAAAATATCCCATTGCTGCCTCTACTGCTAGTGAGAGTCAGCCCTGTGCATGGCCAGCTTTTGGCCCTGGTAACGATTTCTTTTCCCAAGGTCACCTGCAGAAAAACCAGAAATAGGAACAAGATATCCCTACTCCAAATCTCGCACTTTAATCACGTGGCCATTGCCTCCCTCTTTTGCATTTGCCAATTTTATACTGTCCTGTATATAGCGACAGTCATGCTCTACAGCACCAGTCTCCTCCAAAATGAAAATCAACAGAAGTCACCACTGATTTAAAAACCGAAGCAAACAAACTTTTCACTAACTCCAACAATTGCTTGGAAAGGATGAAAGCACTCAAGACACCCACACAGAATCAGGTTTCTAGGACACTAGCCATTGTATCAGGACTGCACTACTTCCCCTTATCATTTCCATTTTTACACGCTGGACTCTTGTATCACACTTTACTCGAGAGCATATCAGGATCTAACATTCTGTACCAGCCCGGGGAAAATAGGAGGGGGAGCGAAAGGGCTGTAACCACCAGCTCTATTTGTGTATCAGCCAGACCTATGCTGCTGGATAAATATACCATATGAAAATCTCTGGGAGAAGAGCGATTACGCTATGAGTGGCTTATCTGCGTGATATTTGATTAACAGAAAAGGAGCTAAACAAACAGTGATTTCTCTTCGGCAACCTGTCCTATTTCCTCCTTGAGAGGTAGAATACGAAAAGAAGAAAGCAAAAAGGTTATTTTTAGGTAGAGCGAGCTCTTGCTGATGACCTGTTCCCGCATCCCAGGCGGCTGCCACCTGCCGAAGGTTTGGGGAAGGAGAGCGTCGCCCGCGGGACGCAGCCCGCTCCGGGGGGTCTGGCACCTCCCGCCTGCAGCACCGCGTGCCCAGGGCCCTGCCACGGGGGGCGGCGGAAGCAAGAGACAAGGAAATAACCTAGCCCTCTTGAAATTAATAGCAAAACTTCTGCTGATTTCAGGATTTCGGGGTTGGGGTTTCATCCAGAGATTTTATTAGCAAAGACCTCCGTTTCTGCCTTCAATTACTGCAGCAGCAAAAAAAATACATTTCAATTAACACTCACATCAGTAGCACATGGTGTGAACTACTGTCAGCAATAGATGCCCGACCCATCCTCCCACAGAAGTGTAGCCACCCTATAACACGGCTGCAGCCTGGGAACCTTCCTTCGGCGCGAGGCCACCATTTTGTTGCGTTCCCAGTCTCCGGGCCGGAGCTATAAAGCACCCACCATCCACTGTGCACGCTCCTGGAGCCAAGAGCAGCTGCAAGCTTCTCCCGTCACCTGGGCAGGCGTCAGACGGGGCCTTCAAAGAGGCTCCCTCCCGGGCAGGGCAAGGGGACCCTTCTCCAAAATCACCTAGGATCGGCCAGTTTTTCCAAGGAGCAATTCCTGCCTCTCGCCAGGCTCCCCGGCGGCTCTGGGCGCAAGCCTCAAGTCCATCCACCCAAGGGTGAATCCTCTTTTGAAAAAAAGTCTGTGGAAAATACTCAGGAGCATATAATCCACCCCCCTTCTTTTGTCTTGTTTTGGGGTTTTTTTTGCTAGAAGTCTGTAAGTATAATATATGTATAACAATGACGTTATACAACAGTGTATGTGTAGTGAGGAAAATTAGAAAAGCTCTTATTTTCAGAAATTACCTGTGCAACCCCAGAATATCCTCCTCACCTTAAAGACGTATTTCCCTTATAAAACTGAAATGTCCTGCTTGGATGTAAACCATTTTGTAGGCAGCTTGGACATTATATTTTTTACATCAAGATGGGGATTTCAGTACTTCTTGGGGGAAACTTCACACAGACATCTCAAGGGTTTCCTTTCTTTTCCTTTTTCTCAAGTTTTCTGTGTGCAAAATCGAGAGTCTTGTTTTTCTCTTTTCTCATAGAGAAAAAATGATCCTGATTCAAAGCAGCACTGAAATACAAGGCTCTGCCAGATGTTACATAAACGATGATGTAATGCCCAAGTATTTCATTACACATGCAGCTCTGTTCTTCAGCTCAGCAGTGATTTATTACATTTTGTCAATCCCATTTTATGTACCCACATAATTTTTACATCATTTTTCTTCATGACATTGTTACGTTCTCACAGAAGCACATAGAGATAACATCATAACAGTGCAGGCAATGAAGTTAGCATTTTACAAATAATGTTACTAATAAATAAGTATACCAGTGAGGGGGAAATGGTCGGTCTGAGAGAGTGAAAAGCAAATTTACCTTTGAATAATCTGATGGGGGAAAAAGGCCATGGTTCCAATCAGAAAACTGAGTTGGTATCCTCTCGGAGCATCTTCTGCCTTCATGCAGAACAGGGAGAAAATGCTGTTCTTGTCTCTTCTTAGTTTAATCGCACGTTCTCTTTGTTTTCCTAATGTGCTCAGTGTGCTGCCGGCTAGATCTGATACACCAGCTGCTTGGTCAAATAGATTAATCAGCAAGCACAAGAAGATCAACACTCAAAATCTATTTTGACCCTGAAATTACCAAGGCATAGGGTATATTAGCTTTTTTCTAATCTTCCATCAAGGTTTGTTATAAAAAGCACACCCAGCAACATCACTTCATATACCGAGAAAAAGAATTCCAGAAACTATGAACTGAAAAGATATGAAGGTCATGTCAAAATAATGCAGCAGGAGACTTAAAAGATGCATTCCTACAGAAATATGGTTAGAGAAAATAACCCTTCTGGTGAGCAGAATACCCAGAATCTTGTCAGACGACTGAAGCCGAGTTCTCCTACCTAGCAGCCAGCCACTAACCTGTATCACATAAAACGTTGCAGTGAGCAGATGCAGTTGATAATAATTTAAAATTTTCTTGTTCCAAGGAGTACAGGGCCACATTCTGTTTTTGCTATGTCACTAGAAAATCAAAATGATCTTCTGTTTTAAATGGGGTTATCCCCCTTGCACATGGAGTCTCCAACGGACAGCATTTGTTATTCAGGGGTTAAGGTAAGGGTCAGCAGAGCGCTCAGGCACCTGCTTACGTCTCATTAATTTCAATGGTTAAGCTCATGCTCAGAAATTCAGCTCAGCCAAAGGCTCATTCTGCTGCTCTTCGTGATATGCTTGGGCTTTATCCTAAAGCCCATTAAAATTTGTCTGGGGCCACCCACTGACTGCGCTGCCTCTTGGATCTCACTGCAGAGTCATTCAACTGATGGCAGGGCTCCACAGAGACGTGCTTCCTTTACCCTTACAAATAGCTGAGCGTCTCCCAAATCTGGATGTCAAAACTAAGCAATCCAAAAAGGAAACTTTGCTTTCTGCTCCAGGACATCTCTGAGTAGATACCTGGTCCAGAGAATACTCTTGCTGTTTAAAACCGGTGAAGAGGTGAGCTGGGGTTCATTTTGAGTCCTTGCACAGCTTTCAGACCGTTTGCAATCAATTCTCTAGTTGCTTTCCAGCAAAGGCAAGCAGAGAGGAAAAAAGAAGAAACCTCAACACAATACAATCTCACCACCCCCAGCACACCCCGCAAACATGCTCGCCACCTCACGGGACCCTGTCTCTGAGGAATTTCTCATGGTTTGACTTTAGAAGCTGTCACTGCCCTTTTTTGGAGGGGAAGGAGGAAGGACTGGATTCAGCTGTTCCAGACAAACCTAAATAACAGCCACGTGGAGGGTGTATGGAAACATCCTTAAGAAAGCATGGCACACATGAGGATATAACCCTTCAGTCGGTGGGCACAGGCTGCTTTTCTTTTCTCACTGGAGTCCAAAAAAAAAAGCTATTATCTAACTAGCCATGAGATTCAAACTCGGGCAAATAGGAGTTTGATTTCTTTTCAGATAGAAGAGATGTTACAAATGAGAATTTTATCTTGCATGGAGGCGTGACAAAGTATGAGACAGAATCCTTCTTGATTACAATCTTCCATCATTTTGATTTTATAATTACTGAATGGAATCAATCAGCTTTCAATTGTTACCTTGGCAAAAGATTAAAACATCATTACTTGTCATACATATTTCACACTTTAGCAAATTTTAATAAACTGAATGCATGAGAAATAGCCATATTATCTTTCATGGCACTGGGATGCTAATGACATTTCTATTGATTTTAATTCACATTTGTTGGTCAAAATTACTCAGATTCAGGCAAGGCATGGACTCCCATAATCAACACTAACAAATGAAGACTGCTGAACACTGGAACAGCTAAAATGGAATCATTAATCAGAAATATCATAAAATAATTGCCAATGAGCTAGGGAGGTCCTATCTTCCTAATGATCATCTTTTATGCAGTATTGATCCGTTTATAATCTGTACATGGTGGTGATTTCTCCGCAGGGTACCGAGCGGGAAGCAGGAGCAGGTGCCGCAGCAGAGGTGGCCCGGTGCAGGAACACGGCACCGTGTCAGCACACCCAGCCCCACGGCTACTCCCCTCGTTTTGGTGCTTCTGCAGCGAGGCAGGGAAAGCCTCTTGGCTGCCGCGGTGCTTGGGTGCATGGCCGCTGTGGTCGGCTCCCACAGTTGGCTCCTACGGTCAGTCTAGCAGTGCTCAGATCGCAGCCCCCCTGGGAGACTGGGGACTGTCCTTGAGCACACAGAGATGCAGCTGTCTGAGATGCAGGCACCCCAAAAGATGTCCCTCTCCCATGAGCTGAACCTCCTCCCTGCCATGCTGGCTCCAGACCCACCAGCGCCAGCAGAAAGCCAGCCGCCTTCATGGAAAATCTACATGTTGGAGTTAACTCATAGAAAACTGGTGGTCTCTTGAGCCTCTCTGCCCACATCCTGGGGTCACCTGGCAGCTCTAGACTGCAAGAGAGAGATCAAGCTATTCGCATACTTTGCTCAACGCAGTTATTAGACCCAGTACATCCCTCATCAGCGATGCTGCGTGGTTTCTTTTCAGTACAATCCTGTGGTTCTTGTGCTTCTGTGTTCACAATATGCTTGGTTTTCCATATAACTTTTATTGTCTTTCAGTCTTTGAGAGCATCTTGTATGCCCAGTGACGTTACAGGTGCTTCGTCTTTGTTTTGCACCATCCTTGATTACCCCCATCCTCGCTCTGCCTTGCAGGGACTGCAGAGGTGTCACCGTGGCTTGGGAAATTCCCTTGCACAGAACCTCAGCTCACACCAGCGTCCTCGGCATCCATATGTCCTTACGTCTTGGCACAACCACTGCCTTTGGCCACCACTGTCCTGCAGGACCAGCATGGGCACCAGGTCTCGCACCCGCGACAAGAGCCCTGCCAGCATTTGGCAATGGCACCTTTCCCACGGACAAAGAGATGGGGAGCAGGTTTGGGACATCTTTGGGAAAAGAGTAATTGAAATCAGCCTTAAGCTTGAGTTATTCTTCTACCACACTATCTGTGGAGAGCTAAAGGCTCCCTCTCTTTGAGTATGGAGAGAAAAAGTATCTAGTAAGTGACTACAGGGTGACACAGTATGACCTGCTGCAGCTTCAGAGCCTCTCTGTCAGAGCTTTCTCCTGCTTTACTCCACAGAGGGGCTTATGTGACGAGCTTGTGCTCAGTCTAGATCTGGATCTGAATTTTCCTAAAGGTTGGGGTAGTGCAGATCCCAGCTGGGAAAGATGGTCAAATACCGCAAGACTACTACTGAGCTTGTCTCCACTGGGCAAACGAGAGTAACTCTGCTGCTGTTGACTGCTGTCCATGCATGGTGGGCACAGGGTAGAGCACACTCACATGCTCCACAGTGGTACCTGTTACACCTGCAACACAGTATGTCCTTTTATTTTTTTATTATTATTTTATTATTATTTTTGTAGTAAGACCATGACTTCCTAAGTTCTCTTGTATTTTCCTGGGTGTTTGTATACATCTAACAACCCTGATTTTGCTGGAAAGTTCTAGATGTTTTTTTCATATAAATTACAGAACAATCGGCTTCTCTTACCATGTACACTGTGATTAAACCAATAGTCTAAGTTATCCACTAGCCTAAATAACCCTGTCAATTAAGAATATCAGAGATACTCACTCCTCAATACTTCCAAAAATCAAGCCAGACTGAGACACCAACAGATTCAGAAATTTAACCTGAAGGATGCAGTTTTGAAAATCTAGTTTGACTAGCACTTCTTTGCTGAATCATATTTTGTTGTCCGAACTGAAAGTGGTGCTTTCTCTTTCCATTTCTTAGCAAGACTTAATAGCAGGATGATGTAATTGAATTACTCAGACTTCATTACTATTATCAATACATTACAGAACATTTACTAATATACTCTGAAATGTTATAAATAATTAAAACTTAAATACATTTGTTGAATTAATACAGCACATTTTGTGATACACTTTTTCCTGCTTCTCCTATGGTCCAATACTGGGATGCTATTAGCCCACAGGCCTGCAAGCTTTTAAAAATCAACTTATCCCTAAGGCCTTGAGAAGAGCCATTAACACCAATGGAACTGGACACAATTTTAAAGTTAAGCATGTGCAGAAATGTTTGCAAGATCAAGATTTAGCTTTCTTATCAGCTACTGATTTCCTTTAGCTCCTCCTTCAGTCAGTAGAGTAGGTAGGTTTATCATCTCATAGGGCCACCTAACAATAAAGTCTCATGTCTTGGTTGTTTTAATGCCTGTACTCACCGAAACACACAATTCACTGGTTTACAGCAGAATCTGGCTAGTCACTGAGCCCATTGGTAAAGGCCTAACTTAGCTGACTTACCAGCTGATCTTTAGCATTACCACTAGAAACCTTCATTGTCCATCTCCTCATCATCACCAAACATTAACATCGGTGGTTTTATGTCTAATAGCAGTAGTATATGTCATGTCTTTAATGTGTGAAATGTAAAACTGGGTGTAGTAGCACCGTTAAATAGATTGTGATCCTCCTGGTGGTGCAGTGGTCTTTGTATCAGAGGCCTCCAGCAGAGCAGTATGGAGGTACTGTTGCATCTGTTTAATAAATATTATGATCTGAGATCGAGCTTTACCAGGAGCAAAAGATGCATATCATCTGTGGTAACTCTTAGATACCATGCTCCATCCTGCTATGCACTGTATGCACACATATAACAGTCTTTGCCCAAAAAATTGCTCACTAATTTGCAATGCATCATACAGTAGCAAATACAAATAAGACTATACTTCTCATTCACTGCAAATAATTTAACTACATAAAGAAAGTGAGATATATGTACTTAGAAAATAAAATGTGGTGCGTTCTGTGG